ACATTAACTGAGGAAAGCCAAAAAAAGAAATACATGCTACATATGGTAAGCGCCGGTCACGGTAGCCGAGCGGTCTAAGGCATGTACTGTCTTCGCTCGCTTGGAAACCGGGATCGTGGGTTCGAATCCCACTCAGGGCATGGAAGTTTAGTTTGTGTGTGTGCGTTTTTCTGTGTTTATATACAGGTAGAGGCCTTGCGACGAGCTGATCACCCGCCCAAGGAGTCCTACCGAATGTGTAGAGTCTAGAAAAACCGAAGTGAACGGAGAAGTTCATGGAGGTAGGCCTAGGCCCACTGGGGCTGTAGTGCCAAGGAAAAAAAACATATGGTAAGCGCACTGTCTCTACAGCTTAAACTTACACAGTTTCTACCAAGTTGCTGTACCTGTGGTAGCAGTACCTCGGTGACTGATGATACGTAACTTAGAGACCTTGGTTCGTTCCTAAGTTCAGCGCAATGTGTTGACACTGCATCATTTTTGTTCGTGGCATAACATAACTGTGAGGAAAATAATAAAATGTCAAGTCACCATTTTGAATTATTGTTCTTTTCCTAGAGTGTCTAACCAAGAATTTTTACGCGAATAAATTTCATAGCGAGGGACGAAAGGAGAATTAAGGAATAAAAACGCATGGGAATGGTCGTGATTTCTTTCAACGTTCTAGACATTTCCTTGATGGCTTGAGATAAACTGCAACATAACACAATCAAGAGAGTTGGCTTCCGTGCAGAACATCGAACACGAGACCTCCAGAATATGAAGCAAGCATTGACTTACGGCTTGAATTTTGTGAAATGTCCTATTTTACGGAAACATGAGGGGTTGTTTCACAGTTCTGATTACAATTTCATAGAAGTGGAGATTCCGCTGTATTTCTGCGCTTGCTGGATACATACGTATATACGTACCTACTTCATTTAATTAAGCGCATGTCATTTTCATTTAAATTAGCCTAATTAGAAGAAAAGAATGAATCATCACACGTAACCCGTGAAGACTACTGTTTAACAAATACATAAATGCAATGCAATTAACAGTGCTCCTCCAGGACTGTGGATGACGACTTGTTTCTGCAGGTTCAACAAAGGTTCTTCCTGGACATCGCACCTGTAACCCAGTATTCCCAGTTCTCCACGTTACAGAACGTATACGAGAGCCCGTATATCATACCGTCTCTTCATAAAATGAACCATGCAGACATTCTGGCCATTCATACAAGAGCTCTGCATCCCCACTAATGGGGAAAGTTAGCGTAACACCGTATTCCCTAGGCGGATGGTAGAACGCCGTTCGAAACGAAATATAAAGAATTCATTTGCATCTTGTACAGGCTTGTTACGTGTCAACTTTATGTTTGTAGTCTTAGTAGACTTCAAGATACTGTGCTCCACCACGTTCCTGCCAGTGCACACAAATGAATCCACTTCTGTATGTATGAGTTCACAGGTTGCTGCTCTCACTCTGTAATTCTGCACATGGAATGGAGTACACGCATCTTCTGAGTCTGGTTCAACTTCAACTGCTTATCCACTGGCCAGTTTAAAGAGATGAGATGGCTCTGAGGCGGTCTCTATTCTAACCGTTTCAAGCATAGTGTTTTTTTTTATTGTTAGTGGGGTGGGACTAAGTCCCTTGTACTGCGGCCACTTCTGGCCTATTGTACCAGCCCCAGATGATAGGTGAGGGTGATTATGGAGCTATTGGTGGAATAAAGATTGGCAGGGGAAACAGAAGTACTCGGAGAAAACCTACCCCAACGCCACTTTGTCCACCACAAATCCCACTTCACTAGACCCGGGATCGAAGCCGGGCCGCCGCGATGGGAAGCAGGACTAACCGCTTGAGCTAAGGCGCGGCCTATGCATAATGGTTACTATACGCACCGGTTTCTGTAACACAGAACACTGCGCATCTTTCTCACAAAATGCATACTCGTATATGGGTTTCGTAAATTCTCAGAATTTATAGCGAATATTTTTTGAACAGCTTTAACTTACCGGTCTTTGTAATGGATACGCAGAGTGCATTCTCTTTTACATGAATTCTTAAATATTTTTAAGTAACCTTCAGGCTCCTAAGAGTTAAATAACTTTTTCTCATTACTTTTAAGTTATTTTTCCCTTCCATTTCGCGAATATATTAATTGGTTTCGTGTCGGTCTTGAAAAGAGGACGTTTGGACTTAGATCAGGGGAAGTAAAAGTACGCTGGAGGAAACTTCATATACGAGGAAAGTAAAGATAAAAGTTCAGTAAAAATGCAAGGGACATATAATTTCAGAAATGGTAGTGCTGTCGTGTAACATAGGAACCGTATGACAGGGCAGAGTTCACCGGTCACAGTCACGGCAACGCTGTGCTCGCAGTGAGTGTTTAAAATGGCCGTGTTGTTTCAAAATCCCACCAAAAGTGAGGTTCGTGCAGTAATTCGATTTCTTCAAGCGAAAGGTGAATCTGCCGCTGAAATTCATCGCCAACTTTTTTCTGTTTACGTGGAAGATGTTATGAACAGGCAAAACGTGGCAAAATGGTGTTGTGAATTAGAAGCGAGAAGAAGTGGTGTTCATCATGAAATAAAGAGTGGAACTCCATCCGTTGTCGTGATGAAATCTCCCAAAAGTTTGATGAAAACATTCGTGCTGTCAGACGTTTACCATCGATGAACTTCATCAACAATATCCGGAAGTGTCAGAACTGTTCTCCACGTCTAAGAGAGCAGGCGGGAGATTTCTACGACGCTGGAATAAAAAAAACGCGTTCCCAGGCTCACTAAGTGCATTGCGATCCATGGTGACTGTATTGAAAAGTAAATAAAGTTGTTTTGTCAAAGTGCTACAAGTCAATCCCTCCAAAAAAAAAATACTTTACAAATATTTTCTGGACTTTGTATCTTTACTTTCCGGATATGATTCGTAATTATTTTGATAAGTTTCGTAAAGGATTATACATTAGACAGAGGTTCCATATTGTTAAGAAACGTTCTGATTCATAAACGTGTTCCGCTCATAATTGAACTACGTCAGAAGAATATACAGCATGAATTATTCGGATTCCATGTCTTCTTGAAAGCGGCCTCCGTAGTCTAGGGGTAACGTTCCCATCTCATGACTCAAGGTTCGCGGGTTCAAACCCGGCGGAGGTCGTGGAATTTTTAAGGGCGGAAAAATTCAGGGAACAAGTACTCCAGGAGGGACTTTAAGCCGTGGGTCCCGTGTCGTAGATTTACGGCACGTAAAAGAAAGCATTAGGTACCACTGCCAGATGAGGGCCGACCTCGCTGGCAGAAAGGGGCTGATAGCGAACACCAGTACCGTTAAGGTTACAGTAGAAATTAAAGGGGGACGCACAATGGACCAATAACTGCTCTAAGTGCATGGGGAAAACACGCCCCCTCCAATAATGAATGAATGAATGAATGAATGTTCATTATTTTCCTCAATGAAGACTGACGGAGACTGTCTCTGTCCTACACGTGGAGGAATGAGGAATAGTGAGATATACAACTTCTTAAGTTTACGATAATGTCACCTTCACTGCTGAGCCCTTCTAGACATTGCCACATAAACTGAGGTCACTTGAAAATGGCGACGAAAACTAGCAAACTCAGGGTCTCTGTTACGTGGCGCACTGCCGCTAGGTGCTACTGAGACTTGCGGTTTATATTTACATTTATGTTCAAGGCAAGCGAAGAAGCTGTCGTGACATACCTAAGCCATTTTTATTTTCGCAGTTTAATGTTCTTTATAAGTTAAGCTATTTCCTCCGGTGTTTCCTTGTGAGCAGTGAAATGTTTCAGATTTCCGTCGTCCACCGGACCCTCTTCCTCCTACAATCCTATCGACAGACATAAAAGAGGCAGATCCGGTTTTCATATTGCGTAGCCGCGGAATTTCTCAATAAAGAAGAAATACCTCAGCCCTAAATTTTATTTAATTTGACGTGCATTTAAGACCTGGTAAGTTTTTCTCATAATGATGTCCAAATACCTAACCACGTTATTAAAATATAACCCTGGTTGCAGGTAAGAACATAAATGAAGAATCCCGTTTTCTGGGATGTGGTTACAGACACCTGCTCACGCTGTTCCTCTCTCGCTGATTTTCCTTCCATGAAGATTGAGGCGAAGCTATCCTCCGAAAAGTCGGTTCACATGAGATCTACACGGTGCCACAACCCAGAAGACCGCATTCTTCATACTCACCGCCGTAAAAAACTTTCAGTCTTACAAGAACATTAGTGTTTGTTTTATTAACATCAGTACTACTAATTTACCGAAGTGAACGGAGAAGTTCATGGAGGCAGGTCTAGGCTCACTGCGACTGTAGTGCCAAGGGAAAAAAAGAAAACACTAATTTTACTGAAAATTTATAACTGAATCGAGCGTATGAAGTCTGCTGCAATAAAAGTCGAACTCATTCAATGGTACTTCTTATAATCGCACGAAAACTTCATTATACCGTTGTATTGCAGGTTCCCTTCTCCCAAGAAGATAAAGATACACTGAGTTGTTAGATACTGTTAGTTTTTCAACTTGGTACCTTTTTAGCGCTGTTCGTTATCTACACTTGCCACCTTATAATCTGCACTGGTACAATGATCGTGTCTGTTTACACAATTATCCTGCCATAACCTATTAACTGCTTGACTGTTTACACAATTTTCCTGCCATAACCTATTAACTGTTTAACTGTTTACACAATTATTCTGCCATAACTTATTAACTGCTTAAATGACTCTTTTCTTTACACATTTAACGACGAATTTCATATTCAAACTTTAACCAAAAGTCGATTATTAGAATGATAAAGAAAAATATACTGAAACGTGTGTGGATGTAAGAGGCCAGTATTTGTCTTTAGGTACTTTGACTGTAGAAAATGAGGAAAACCTAAAACACAAAACCCGATCTCAGAGGCCTCCTGCATAGTCGAGAGGCGTGAGGTTTTAAACAGAGGTGCCAATTTCTTGAGCAACCGTTACATTTTTCTGTTTGTTTCAGATCGACCTGAAGCATATAAACCAGAAATACAACAGTAATAATGTGGAAGTTGGAATAGACCTCAGGGAATACTATCCAAGCGTCGAGTGGGACATCCTGGGAGTTCCTGCAGAGCGTCACGAGAAATACTACCCTTGCTGCTCCGAACCGTACATTGGTAAGTGCACTTAGGTCAAATGAAAATCTTCATCAGACAACGGCTTTCAGCGCGCTGCTGAATATGCGCAGTTTGTTGCTCCATCCATCGAAGGACACATCACAGGTTACACAGTAGGATGATGGGATAATTATGATTCATAAGTCGGTAACTATGGAAGCAAGTGGTCGTGGCATATTTTAAGGCACTGTCTCAGCACTAGGATGGAGGAGCAACATAAGATTGCGGCTGTTTTACTTAGTGTAGAAGCCATCTCGGTCATGACCCGAACCAAGAAGCTTTGAAGAAGCAGTTATTGAGAGTAAAGTACAATACACAGCACTGATCGTACGAGTTAATTTTTCATTGTTTTATATCAAAATATTAAGAAATTGTTTTTAAATTTATAGACATGTTAACAACTCGGCCTACAGTGAAAATAATCTGCTGCAACTTGCAGAAAATACATACGTTCTATATAAAAATATTTGGAGAAAAACAGTAAAAATATTCTGAAAGAAAATAATTACACTCCTTGTGGAATTTAGCGCCATGTAGTCAGGTAGAATTTCACAGACGTTCCTAAGGAAACGAAGGCTTCCATCATCACTGTGGAAGCTTAAACTAAGCAAATATCCAGCAAGAAACAGGCATCAAGCAAAATTTCCTGCTAACAAATTTCTTAGCTCACTTTTCGACTTTGAAGATGGGGGCAACATGTTCCTACGAAACATCAGCGAATTTATACCGAAATAAACGACGTTACGTAAAGAAGAGAGCACTCTCTATAGTCACTGCTGTGAAATAGTCAAGTCAAACACAATTATTATAAAAGATATAAACGTTAATTAATTCCGTACAGTGTGACTGATGGAGTTCTTCTCCTTTTTAATATTTTATCCTCAACATGTTTCGGTCTTATAGACCATCTTCGGAAGGATATCAATAAAATTAGAAAATTAGAAACAAATCAAACCAACACAATTATATTGTCATCGATAATATTTTCAACAAAAAAAATATTTCAACTAGGATATCCATTCTGCTTGAATTATCGTAGACAGGCCTTAATACTCTACTGCGAAAGATTTGAACTTGTTTACCACGTAGGCTTACTAAGAAAAATGCACTTAGTGTAAACATTTATATGAATAAAACTAAAACATCTGCCAGAATTTGCATGGGAGACATTCCAAACACACGAAGTAATTCCAAATACAGGTTGACCCATCGCATCTTATAAAAACTGGTGAAATTATGATCCGATTTTTGTGAGAGTACACCAACATTTGGAGCAAGAGAGTTACATTTGTACAAGAGATCAACACAGATAATTTTAGCGGCACGATTCCCCTAACACAGTATAAGGGGGGGGCTACATTGGCGAGAAGCTTTGTGCCTTACAGTACACTGTGCCCGCGATACCCTCATGAGAGTGAAAGTTATTTTGCACCGGACTTGATACTTAACTAGGCAACAAATTATTAATCATCACGCTGGGATCGTGGGTTCGAGTCCCACTGAAGGCATGGATGACTGTGTAGGTTGCGGCCGTGAGACGGGCTGATCCCCCGTCCAAGGAGTCCTACCGTCTGTGTACAGGATTACACAGCCATAGATAGATAGACAGACAGACAGGCGGGCAGATATATATACACAGATAGACGGGCGGACGGACAGACAGACATAAACATAGGTAGGTAGGTGGGTGGGTGGATGAATGGATGGATAATCATGAATATTTAGCCGTCGAGAGAATAAAACATTAAAGAAATCTCAAGATAAATTTGTTGTATGAATATGTTTTGAATGGATTCGTTTTTTTGTGACCAACTATGGTATTATTAGTGTTGAAACTTTGGGTTCTTTTCTATCAGGTAGTCTTGAGAGTTGGTTAACAGACAGTCAGTAAGTTGTTTGGTTAGCTGGTTTAGAAATACTGGGGAGGCTTGACTGGACTCAAGCAAGCAAAGGGACTCATATGAGGACCCTCTGCTAAGGAGCGAAGGAACTGTTGAAGTTAAACAGGAACCAGCTACGATGGGTGGTAGGACTACTTACAGGACACTGTCACCTCAAAGGACACCTCTTCAAACTGGGACTAAGTAATAGTCCAACTTCTGAGGGGTGTAAAAAAGAAATTAAAACAGCCACACATATCCTGTATGAATGTGAGGCCTTAGCTTGTTTAAGATTACGTCGCTTGGGTCAATATTTTATGGAACCAAGTGCCTATTTCGACGTCCCCATGTATAAAATCCTACGCTTCATTCGAAGTGCAGGATTGTTGAGGGGATAATCAGAAGGGGAGGCACAATAGATTACTGTTGTCGCGGTGCAAGGGCCAAGAAGGCCCACCCCTTATAATTTCATTCAATAGTTAGTTAGCTGGTAACACAGTCTGTCAGTTAATCTGTTAATAGAAAGCATCTGCACTGGCCACATCATTATCTTAGCTGCCAGTGTCTTAAGAGTGGGTGGTTTGGCTGCAAGTGCCTCAGGAACAGGTCAGAAAGGGCTTTATTGTACCACCATCGAGACTTCCGGTTCCTGTAAGGCAGATTTAGTGCCCATAAACTGTGCAAATTTTATATCTCAGTATGCTGAATCATATTCCATCAACTTCAGATGTTACAAGAGTTTCATATGCCCATAACCATCATGAGAGTTTAGGAAGGATGTACACAACTGTAAAGTGACTCAGGCTGAGCTCCTGAGAGCAGGATACTGAAAAGAATTCTGGGCCTCGGAAAGACGAAGGAACAAGGGGACGGAAAAAAAATTAGAAGGAAGAATTTCGTAATTTTTACCATTCATAGAATATTATCAGCGTGATCAAAAGGAAGAGAATGGGAGCGAATGGGACAAACAGTACGGTCGAGGAAGATAAGAAATGCGTACAGAATTTTAGGCGGAGGCTCTGATATTGAGAGACCACTTAGGATACCTCGGTGTAGATGGGAGAACAGTGTTAAAATGAAACTTAGAGGAACTGTGTGTGACGGTGTGCCCTGCAGGTGAGTGACGTAGGCTAGTGTGTACTGGCGGGTTCTAGTAAACAGGGTAATTAACTTTCGGGCCATAGAACAAGTTGTTTATTTCTTAGTAAGTCCGTTAGTTAGTTAGTCAGTAAGTAAGTTAGTTAGTTGTTTTGTTGGTTAGTTGGTTGGTTGGTTGGTTGGTTAGTTGGTCAGTTCATTGATTCGTTAGATGGTTGGTTAGTTAGTTGGTTTGTTGGTTGGATGGTTAGTTAATTTTTTAGTTAATTAGTTAGTTGGTTTGTTGGTTAGTTATTTAGTTTCTCTGTTTAGTTAGTTGGCTTGTTGGTTGGTTAGTTAGTTAGTTAACTAGTTAGTTGACATTTTAAAGAGGCCCCATATAACTATATATTCTAAATATCTTACAAGAACAATCAAACCCAACTACAAACAAATGTACTTCGTTTTTCTTGGAATCATTTTATTTAAAGTGGGCCTATTTAATTTCATTCGAGTTACCGTTTCGTAAAATAAGATATTTCCGAGACACTCGAGCTCTCAAAATTATGTATAAATCTATAATAATCACAGTACGAATCGAATTCAGAATGGAGTCTAAAGACGTGAACGAACAGTAAAAAGACTACAGGATACGGATTGATTTTCTCTTATCTGAACATTCAACATCAAATAAATCTTGAATGTAAACATTCTTGGAAACTGGAGTCTATAGGCAACATTCTAAAATCTAATAACCTTCACTTGCTCTCTATATTTTTCGGCAGAAAAGGAATTTTTAAAGTCTTCTTTCGTCTTTAAGCTTCCCGAAAATCTGCTTACGCCAAGAAAGCTCTTAGAGACCTGGTTTTGATTTTGGAACCTGCCTTTGTTACTGCTCACTCCATGAATGAAAATAAATTTATGTCCATATAACAAACAAGATTTATCAGCGTTCGTTAATTTTCTTTGGTGAGGATGTCATCAGACACCTTATGGAACATAAAGGAGAGAGAGTGAATCGTGAATCAATGTTCTTCGGTCTTTTTATCCATAGTTTTAATGACAGGAAGAGACATGATGGATTTGAAGGAAGTCACCCAGCTAAAAATTTACACAGAAGCGCGGCGATAACCAGGAAATTTAAGGCGATGGGACGAGTCAACACGACTCAAAATATTCAGGAACTGCTACAGACCGGATGGTCGACATTCGATTCCCGGCATGTCCTTTTTCCAATCCGCGTCCAAAAATCTCTGGCTCATACTCAGTCTCCGATCCAGTGGGAACTGGAGATAAAGCAGCTGGAGCGTTAAGATGACCACTCACCTCCAAATAACGCGGAAGTTAAGAGAGCGTTGATCTCACCTCCATCCACCCAAAAGTATTCGTGACGTGGTGCTTAAGCACAGGGCCAGCTTTGCATATCTTGCAAAAGTCCTTCTCACTTCCCTTTCCTATTTCAAGGCGTGAAACTTAAATCATTTGCTTCGCAAGTTCATAAAACTGTATTTATTCGACACCTTTCCTCTGTTGCTGTTTATGGGCCTCTGTCTGGTAAAGGCCGTTTTATATATGCTTATTTCGCGGTCGTTGCCTAGCAATGGGTCTACATGCCACAGTATCTAAAATAAATAAGAGAGTGAAAATATTAACCAGATATTTCCGATTCTATACTGGGACTATTGGGGGGGGGTTCTAGTATACAAGGGACTGTACTGTCGAGCTGAATGACTACAAGTTTCTGAGGAATTAGTCTAAACTGCAGACTTCCTTTCAACTGTAAACACATATACAGCGCTTTCACTCACTCTGCCATTTTGTCGCTTTTCGAAGAACTGGAACAAAGTACCACTGGCATTAACATTTGAACAAACTTGACACTATAACTAACAGAGACTGAGGGTGTTTGAGAACATGGTGTTGAGGAGAATATTTGGACCGAAGGGAGATGAAATGACAGAAGGTTGGAGAAAACTGCGTAATGATGAGCTTCATAACTTGTACTCTTCTCCAAGTATAATTAGAATGATCAAGTAAAGGTGAATGAGGTGGGCAGGGCATGTAGCAAGAATGGGGGGAAACGAGGAATGCATATAGGATATTTTTGGGAAAGCCAGAGGGCAAGAGACCACTGGAAGACCAAGGCGTAAGTGGGTGGACAACATTAAAACGAATCTTGGAGAGATAGGATGGTATGGATTGGATTGCTCTGGCTCAGGATAGGGACAAGTGGAGATCTCTTGTGAACACAGTAATGAACCTTCGGACTCCATAAAATGCTGGGAAGCACTTGAGTAGCTTTAGAATTGGCGGCTCCTCAAGAAGGGCTCAGCTACATGAGTAAGTGACGTTACAACTATAGCGAAGCGCACTAAGGGAAAGGCACAAATAAACAATATTTGCCTTCCGAGCAACTGGAGATCCTACGCCTTTCAACAAAAACCGCCTACCGTAACCGGAGCAAGCAGTGCGCAAATCCCGCTGTCTTTTGGTTCAACTGAGTTAGAAGATTTCATTCTGGACACAGGAATTCTGCGCCTCAGTGAATGTACAAACACTGGCTTTCATGTGGTCAAGAAGCCGAGAGCCTTAGGGAAGAGGGACAAGCTCCGTAGTCCTTTGATCGTCCGTTTGCAAACAAAACCTTATTTTGAGAGAGAATAGTAACATTTACAAAAGTAATACACCGCAAGATTGGCATAAGTACATTTACATCCATGACACACTGAGGAAGTTTGCTTCGTGTTTACGGATGGTGTCCAACTGAGAGGTAAGGAGAAAGTATCATGACTAGTGCTTTAACTAGTCATCCACACAACCTCGTCAAGCTGACAACAGCATTGAACAGACTACGGCGCGGCGTCAAAGAAGGAGAAGATTAAAAATCTAATATTCTAACAAAATCACAACTCTCTCGCACTGTTCAATAATTTATATACTATTATCTTATTTCATTGGTGTCAATCTTATTTTATCAAGTCGGAACGTTTTTATGTGGCTGGGAAATATTTTAAAAATTTATGTTTGTGCTGAAATACGTTATGAGCTCGTCGGCTTCAAATATGAGTACAATTACCAGAACGTCTCGTAAGTATAAAATTCTCAGATTTCCTTTTCGCATAACGTTAAATGACACTGTTGTAGTTTAGGTGTCTTAAGAATCACAAGTTAGATGTACTGCAAAACAGACACACAGCTCCACATATTTGCGAAGTTTTATTTTGTTCAGTTATCTGGAACTGGTTGGAAGATCCGTACCGAGGCACGTTCCTTTCTGTCTGCTACTGTATTTCCCTCAAGCTCCTTCTAGCCTGTGTGAAGGGGCGCAAAGCTCCTGTTGTTGGGTGGATCACCATGTGCGTTATCCGAACTAGCATCCTTGTGAACAGAACGGCTAGTCGATTAAACGAGAATATCACAAACAGGAAATGTGACAATCTAACGAAGATCCGGTCTTGTGTCCGCATCTCCAGTAGTAGTCACACTTTTCGGCCACTTCTGGTCTCGGTAACGCTATAGCAGTGTAGAGCGTGCCTAATACAAGCCCATGTCACGTATATCTATAAAACCCTCCTAGCATCTTATGGGTGTCATCATGAAACTGAACATGTTAAGCATCCGTATATGACATAAAATATCCAGCTCACCCTTTTTGAAAAACGCCGGAAAATTTAGTATCTATATGTACAGAAAATTACATTCAAGTATTTCCCGTAAGAAAAACGATCACGTAGTCCAATTGGCAATAAAATGTCAAGGCTGCCCTTCTGTGTAATTACCACGCCAAGAAGATATATAGTTTGGTGGTGGTAAAGCTCCACACATTCATCACCTCGTCATTAGATACAGATACTGTCACCTTATGCTTATGTCACTTTACCATCAAAGTCAGAAACATAGCCTAAAGTACCAGCTTGAAGGAGTTTGCTTGGATTCCGGAGACATTCTGGACTTGGTGTTGTAGATAAAATTCTCAGTGGCTATCAAAAATCGAACTTCGGTCGTCCAGCTCTTACTTATTCTGACCCATTTCTTATGAAAATGAAGATCACAATCCGTAGAAAAGTGAGGAAGAGTATCTCTTTGCTCTAGAACAGGGGTCTCCAAACTTTTCGAACCGCGGGCCACATTAGGTAATTCATCACTTTCAACGGGCCGGATAAAATGAGAAATTAATAACTCTAGGTATATGAATTTTATTGAAAGCACAGAATTTCATAAACTAAATACAAAGTACGTGAGAATAAATTATCGTATATTAATGACAACAGACAGTAGCAGCAAATGCTCATATTTTCATCACAAATTATAATAAAACAATTAATGTGAATGATGGAACTCTTTTTGCATTCTTAAAATCTGACTAAATTGAGGTGATGATGACCTGTTACAATTACAGTGCACCACTGCAAAAAGTCTTGTGCACAAGACGGCTAGTAACGAACTGTTCGCGCTACCTGCATTGCCACGAAGTGACATTGCCGATCGAAGCCGAACAAGTACGAAGAAATACCGCGCAGTATACGGTCCAGAATTAGTAAAATTGTGAATAATATTAATATTAACATAATATGGAATATCAATATATTTTAAACACAATCTTAATTAATGAATTTGAAATCTAGGAACAAGTATTTTTTACCAGTACTCATTGCAAAAGTAGTTCAATTGGCGCATTTCTGCATAATTCTTTCGCGGGCCGGATAAAATCACATCGCGGGCCGCATGTGGCCCGCGGGCCGTAGTTTGGATACCCTTGCTCTAGAGTCTGCCCTTTCCGAATATACACCAGTCTCGAGCGACGTAAGCGCTCTTTTCTTAATCCGTGTTTCTGTTTGTTCCTCAGATATCTTCTTCAACATCACGCTGCGTCGCAAGACCCTCTTCTACACAGTGAACCTCATTGTACCATGCGTTGGCATCTCCTATCTCTCTGTGCTAGTGTTCTACTTGCCAGCCGACTCGGGAGAGAAGATAGCACTCTGTATCTCAATTCTGCTGTCCCAGACCATGTTCTTCCTGCTCATATCCGAAATCATCCCGTCAACATCGCTAGCCCTGCCCTTACTGGGCAAGTACCTTCTCTTCACTATGATCCTGGTAGGCTTCTCTGTAGTTATAACCATAATGGTTCTCAACGTCCATTACCGCAAACCTAGCACACATAAGATGGCTCCTTGGGTAAGGAAAGTCTTCATAAGACGGTTACCCAAGCTGCTCTTGATGAAAGTTCCAGAACAGTTGCTAGTGGATATGGCAGCAAATAAGAATCGTTTACGTGCTGCCAAGAAGTCAAAGCTGAATGCAGCGGCTGCAGCTGCAGTAGCAGCTTCATCGTCGTCGGTGGCGTCCTCACCGGACTCGCTAAGACATCACCCACTTCAGAGACCCGGTGGTTGCAACGGGATCCACACGTCAGCCAGTGGAGCCACCAACAGGTTCGGAGGACTCATGGCGGAGTTCAACGGGCTGCCGTCTGTAGTCGGCTTGGACGGAAGTCTGAGTGACGTCGGCACTAGGAAGAAGTATCCGTTCGAGCTGGAGAAGGCGATACACAATGTGATGTTCATCCAGCACCACATGCAGCGACAGGATGAGTTTGATGCGGTGAGTTTATTCGGGGACTACGCGTCAAAATAGTCAACACTCCATACACAGAACTTACAATGTTTTTGTTACTATGACAGACTGTATGGAGTAAATTCCTTCTTCAGAAGCTGGTAGTCGCTCAGATACTCAACAAATTTGTTACCCTTAACCCGAGGGTTCATTAAATCTTTACATTGCCCGAATTTGGCCACCATCCATAGCCAAATGAATCCAACAAATTAAAGATCCATTAAAATATTATCCATGCTAGGTTTTTCAAGTGGTCTCTTTCCTTCGGATTCTTACATCAAAATGTTATAGTCATTTATTACCTTTAACACCTCATTCTTCTTTAACTGGTGAAAAAAGTACCAAAACTTACTTGTATGACACTTCCCAGTATTCACGTTCCTTCATTTTCTTATTACTTCCGACATCTTAGGTCCAAACATTCTCCTCAATGCTCTGTTCTCAGATATTTTAAAATTAGGTGAATTCCTCAAGATCATATATCTAGTTTCACATCCATAAAAAAATTGGTAAAATTGCAAATATATATATAGAGTAAAGTTTTCCCTGTCCTTAGCTAATTAAGCACTGCACCATGGGGGAGTGGATGTATAGAGTCACATTTTCTTCACCTCGGCACTAGTTTGAGGTGAGTGGTCAGTTTCACTCCCCAGCCGCTTTAACCCCCGTTGCCCAATTAATAGGAGGGTGGGTGGGCCCCAGAGCCGGTCTTGAGACTACCGGGATTCGAAATCCGATCACTTGGTCGTTCAGCCCGTAGCCAGTCGCTATACCGACTGAGCTATCCCGGCTCCATATATGAGTTCTTAGGTACAGGGTGAATCGTATAGAACCGGCCCGATGAATTTGCTAATAATTCCGCAGGTGATGCATAAAACCGCTCACAATTACGAAATAATAATCCGTGGGCCGTGCTGAGTCGAATGGTGTGCGCATGATCCGACAAGTGGCAGCCCTTATGCTGCAAGGTCAAGGACAATGCCGAAACGTGTCTGCAGTGCGCAGGCGACAGTCATGGAGTACACTGTTGAACAGCGAGTGTTTCTAATGCCTGCTTGAAAACGGCGGACACTTTCAACACCTGCTCTGATCACGGCACGCAATCCAAGATAAGATATGTGTAAACTACTTTAATATATGTATGGTATATTTTATATTACACCTCATTTCGTCAGGCCGGTTCTATATGAATCACCCTGTAGAATAAACAAAAGGTTACGAACTCAGTCCATGAAAATATGTTTGAACATTGAAGACAAGGAACAAGACACGTGCTCATGTGCTCAGACTTGTCTGTTATTTGTGTGCAGGAAGATCAAGACTGGGGATTCGTGGCCATGGTATTGGATCGTTTGTTTCTATGGATCTTCACGATCGCTTCGATTGTCGGAACATTCGCGATCCTGTGCGAGGCGCCAGCCCTGTACGACGACACAAAGCCCATTGATATGGAGTTATCGTCTGTAGCCCAGCAGCAGTTCCTACCAAATCTAGGCCACCAGCACAAGCACAGCTTGTAGTAGTGAATCGACGATCAATGATTTTGTGGACAGCGGAAAAGAGCCGTTCTTGTTTTCGATCACTCTGTGGCAGTATTCCAATGGGACAAATATGCTTTCTGCTCTGCAGTGGGCTGACGAAATCCTACAGGATATATATATATTGGTAGCGAAACTCACACCCAGAGAACGATATGAAGCAGCTACAATTTTTGAAGAAATTATCACTTATTTCAGTTTATATTTGAAATGAATTAAAAAAAACTGTCATATTGAAATACATATATAACGAAATGTTACAGCACGGTGATATTTTTAGCGTTCCGAAGGAACAAATCTTCTTTGGAACCCAGTAGTGTAATGAGTATGCCAGTCTGTCTATCCGTGCAACCAATTATATGGCCATCAGTACTATAAATAGTAATGGAATAGTTTTTAGAGACTTCGTGGAAACACAATGACGTCGGAGGCTTCCGGGTTAGAAACTCTGTGCATAGATTAGCTATCCTGGCTGTAAATTTGTAAGATTTTCTTATACTTCTTCCACCTAAATGTTAAGATAATGCATTAAAATAGCCCACGACCACTTCCCACAAGGTTATATCAAATTCTTTTTGTTCACACAACCGTTCTCCAGTTCGACGCTACATAATACAAACATCGGAAAGTATCAACAGACGTTACTCGGTGTTACGATTTCAAATGCTGTATCATTTTGCAATTTTACAAGACTGGATTGTCACCATTTACTTAGGATATTTGAAAGTTTTGTATACAATCAGTTGTTTAACAATATGAAATATTTCTTACAGTGGCTTTTGTTTCAGAAAACGAAATACGACAGTAATTGTTCATTCATCGTAGAGTATGCTCAGTGATACGAGAGAAACAAAGTCACAAGTAGTATCAGAGAAATCAAATTAGCAGTGTCTGGTCGTGTAGCACGAACATATCTAATTGGGTAAGACTAGTTATCTCAATTTTAATACAGGTCTGTAGATAATATATTGATTCGTCAAATATGAAACCTGGTCGAAACTTGGAATTGATTCATAAAAAATATTTACAGGATAACTTCTTATCAAACAGCCTCTTAGACAAGCGAAAAGTGGTAGAGCATTAACGTGGATCTTTCTTTTTGCGTTAGTTTCTTAATTATGTTCTCAATTACGAGACTGTATAGCTTCAGCAATAGGACGATTAATGAATGTGAAGCAATTGATGGAAGGACAATTAACGTGGGTAACTGCAGTAATCAGATAAGACCCACCCCAATTTTACTTTATTCATGACAAACCGCACATGAATTGCCTGGGGATGGAACTTGGGCCGCTGCGGTTGGAAGCCCGCGATTGACAGCCTGAGCAATGACACGGCCCTGTAGATCTTAAATTCATGCGTTGTGAGCATGCGTGATAGATAAATCTGGTCTAGGACTTGTCCACTGCCGGAATTTCTGTTGCGCGGTGTTGGACCTTCGCATTGTGCTATCAGACACTTACTTACTACAATGCGTTCAATGATCGAGGAAACCTGGCAGCAGCATAGAACGGACACAACATTTCTCATAGATTACTATTCTAACTGCCGATAGCAGAATGAGTCGTTAGCGCTGATAAACACGCGCCATCATGTGGTCTGATTTTGTCACTGCAGTAAGTCGCATTAATGGTCAGTTTGTTAGAGGTGTCTGTAGGCGGTCGACATTTATACTGAAATGAAGTTCATTATTGAAAAGTGTGTGCTTATTGTCGAAACTTTTGCAAGGAAAGTGCTTACAGAAAATGTATCCGTAAGTTTCGCCGTAAATATCCTAACTTGTCAGTTCACGCAAAGTCGTTTGTATCCAAGTTTGTGAAAAGTGGCGGGTCATAGGTTCAGCGTGTGACATAAAGAAGCAATCGAAGAGGATTGTGCTGACTGAAGAAAAGGTTCAGGATATTGAGGCACGACTACAGATCAGTCGTCGAAAATCGTTAAGACGCTTAGAACAAGAAACCGCAGTTTCGCTAGGATGTGCTAATGCGACTTACTGCATTGACAAGATCAGACCACCTAACGCCGCGCGTTTATCGGCGCTAATGACTCATTCTGCTATCGGTAGTTACAGGAGCAATATATGAGAAATGTTGTGTCCGCTCTGCGCTGCTGCCATATTTTCTCGATCATTGAACGCCCTGTACTTGAACACGTCAATATCAGTTTGAATTAATTGAAACAAGAAGCATAATTATTTAAAATTCAAATTATAAATTTAATTCGCCTCCAAAATATATTAATATTCCACGAAGATAATTAATGATTATAACCGTAGAAAAAAATAATTGGTGTCGCTGATTTGCAAATTAAACTGACATATTATTAATTACGTGTTTCAATTATACTTTCATATATATACATACATATCAGTCAGTTAAAATTTACAACACTTTAAAAACGTTATACTGCACTGCTGGATTTGAGATTTTCACGGCAGTGACTATGTCTTCTGGGTTGTAAAGCTATGTGATTCGGAGACCGCCCAGTTTTTCAGAGAATCGTACCTTATTCGACACGTCTGGCTTTCTGCAAACTATACGGTGTTACGACTGTAATATTCTTTACAAACTATTATTATTATTATTATTATTATTATTATCTTAATGTTTAATAATTAAATTTCAGAAGTTTGAAGTTAAGACTTCATGACGGTAAGTTTTACCATAAAGGAGTCTGACGGTAGACCAAATAACCCAATGGAATACTGCCATTAAAATACACGTATGATCATAGTGAATTCGTCCCTACTGTAAATTTAAAAAATGGTACGCATAGCAAAGCAACACGAAGTGTGGACACAGTGAGATAACTGTGCGGTGAAACTGTGATATCAGACGAAAATGATCCTTATTGATCTTGCACGAAGGAGACAGAGGAGTAGTGGCCACTGCTGGTCCCACTTAACACAACCAAACACGGAGCAGTGAACCACACAAATAGAACTAAGTAACATATATTAAAGAGGTGTTTCCTAGTTTGATAAACCGTATAAAATTTATCTGAACTGTTATAGAAGAGGAAATACTTCAAAGCAGGATGACTTCATTACAATTTGGCTACATTCCTGTAGCTATCGCTATCCCTTTTTCAGAATACCATATAAACACAGGGCCAACAGGCAGAAATTTGATATACATCAATTCCAGGTTCAAGCCTCTCCAAATCACTGTTTACGAACATTAGAATTTCAAGAACTTTTAAATTAAAAAATATGTAACAAGTAACGCAACAAACATAACATAAACGAACAGAAAATAAATTTAAAATTCGTCACCCATTATCTTTAGCAACTAAAAAAATAAACGTATTCCTGTAACAGACCGTGGAGGCCGATAGGGTTGTGAGATGTTGAGTTTCCCATATTATCTAGACAATCGGCTCATAGATGGCAGTAAGGTTGTCAGTCTTACGCTCCGGCCATTCTTTACCCTCCAGAAAGATAATTGGTACTCATTTCTGTTAGAGGCTGAGTCGACCCCAGGGCCATAGTGCGGCTGGAAGGATTAGGTAAATTGAAAAAATCCACCTCATCGGGATTCGATCCCGTGACCTTCCGGCTTGTAGCACAGTGCCTCAACCAACTACGCTATCCATTATTACTCTTAGCAGTATACCACAGACTTGGGAGTGTCTTGTTATATCCAATAAATGCAGCCCTTTGACGAGGGGAGGTACACATGTTTCAAACCTCAGTTAATACCCTGGAGCCTCAAACACATCTCAATAATTGGGACACTTTAAAACCTCAGTTATCATATCTCAGAGGACCCATTGCTTTATGATACAGTGGTTAGGTAAACAACCATTGTGTTCCGGAAATATCCAAAATCCATAAATATATGTGACCTGGGGTGAAGTCATCCAGATAGGGCGCTCGACCATTTACAAAAAATTATATTTTTGTGCACTTATTTCTATATATTTTCATACATCAAAAATATTTTAAATAATTTTTAATCTGCTTGGTTCTCCCGGTACAGCAATTTTTATAATGCGAAAAAAAAAACGCGTTTTCTGCTGAAATGGAGGTTCGCGCTATCTTCCATATCTCGATGATTATTGATACTAGAGACTCAAATAAGAAACCACTTTGTTCCTCATGATATGGATTACAATTCATATCATTACAAGTTTTTACTCAACTCACTTCCTCTGGGTCCAATTAAGCTTGAAACCTGCCTATCGATTTTGGAAAAAAAAAGCTATTTTTGACTTGCAGAAACCAATGTGAAGTGTATCAGATATGTGGTTCTACCCTATGTTGTTCCATATATGGGGAATATAATCACGTAATTTTGAACCCCGTATTTATTTTCCAAAAATTTTTAGGAACGAGTGTTAATATCATGTCATTCCGAGCAGTAAGTGCCTGTACTTACTGCTCCGAATGACGAAAGATAAATCTCTCGTCTTTTATACCGAATAAAGAACCACCAATGCTATTGGGTGCAGGTAAGCCAATTGTTGAGGTGTTTATTTCTTTGATAAAATTCAAAGTGCCCACAACTTCGCTATTAGTAGAATATCAAAGTTGTAATTCTAACTCCAAGTTACTCAGGAATAGAGCATTATTTGCTATGAATTTCAAAATTTTCGGAGCTTCCCCACCAGAGATATGAGATGTTAAATTGGGCGATTTGGAGCCCAGGGCAAAGTTTGGAAGCTCCTAGAAAAATTTGGAAAATAGATAGGGGGTTCAAAACTACGGGATTGTATTCCCCATGTAGATAATAACAAGGGGTAGAAACCACAGGTCTGATAGTTTCCCCCTCCCATTGGTTTTTGAAAATAGAAAGAGCTCTTTTTCCAAAATCGATAGGTAAGTTTCAAGCTTAATTAGACCTAGAGAAAGTGAGTTAGTAAAAACTTGTAATAACATGATTTGTAGCCCATATCATGAGGAACAAATTGGTATTTCCTGGAGTCTATAGCATCAATTGTTATCAAGATATGGAAGATAGCGCGAACCTCCATTCCAGCCGAAAACGCGTTTTTTTCGCATTATAAAAACGGCTGTACCGGGAGAACCGGGCGGATTAATTTTTTTAATATTTTTTAAGTGTGAAAATATGCAAAAATAAGTGTACAAAATATAATTCTTTTATAATGGTCGAGCGACTTATCTGGGTGCCTTCACATGGAATGACCGCCTGGTAAACATAACAACCGCACTTCTTTAATGGATAAATAAAGAATCTGAGTTTTCACACGTTAGCGTAGTTGGTTGAGGGGCTATGCTACAAGCCGGAAGGTCGCTAGTTCAAGTCCCGATGAGGTCAGTGGATTTTTTCAATTGACCTAATCCTTCCAGTCGCACTATGGCCCTGGGGTCGACTCAGCCTCTAACAGAAATGAGTACCAGGAATTAATTAAATAAATTTCCTGGGGAGTAAAGCGCGGCCGGCGCGTAAGGCTGACAAACTTACCGCCATCTTTGAGCCGTTTGTCTAGATAATGTGGGAACCTCAACATTTCACAACCTTATGGGCCTTCACGGCCTTGTACAGGAATAGCTTTACTTTACTTTACTGTATAAGACTCGTTCAAACAAAGATGTATTCCAGCCAGTTGCACACACTGTGAAGTCAAAGTACGTACTATTATTGCGAATGCAATTAGCAGAAAGGTTTCAGTCATTGCCTCCATCATAATAGCGTTCTCAGTGCCGTTAATACAATCCGGATATGATGGATGAAGTTCGGTCAGAGTGATGCTCTGATCTTTTGGAAGTGAAATTAAATAGATTTGCTTTGTTTTTCAAACTAGGAAATAAAAGATAAAATTCTGATTTTCATTTTAGACTATAGAATTTTGAGATTGTGTCTCGTTTTAAAGTAAAATAATATAAATGCAATCACAATGTAGAAAGTTGTTTATTGAATTGTTCTTGAAATATTGTTACGTCAAACGAGAGACCTTTCAACAAATTAACATAAGTATATAATTATTAACGAACTATAATCAAATCTGAACTGTTTGTTAACACCAACATCTCTTTGTTATTATTGATTAGCGTACATTATAGATGTGCAAAAACATTCATCTTTGAAACATCACTCTCATTATTATAATTATGATTCCAGTTTCAAATGAAAGTATTGCAGTGTGAGTGAATGTACTGTGAGAAATATGACAAAATTAATAACGAAGAGGCCGTAATACGATCTACTGATAATTAATTCGCCGAGTTACTCTATGGCAATTCCGGTTTCTCTCTGTGTTCCTTATTATTATGTGGCTTCCTGTGTGATGACTTGAAACTTTCTGAGAAAAACACGAATTGTTTTCTCTGTAGTGACTAATTATTTAATTACTCTCAGACTATTTGGGATGTACAATGCCTTCATAGATTTGAAGATTATTTAGTAAGGAAAGAGAAGACGCCAAAGTGACTCCGTGATAGGACAACAGTCTAATGCTGCAAGTGTCATCTTTAGACATATAAAATAATTTGTTGTAAACTTACTACAAGTTCTGTATATATGACTTGATATCATACAATTATGTACAAGTGAGCTCGTTCTGTAATACGCTCATAATACTGCCACAATATTTCCCTCCTTCAAACTCATCACATAAATATTTCAGTGCCCAAAATTTCCAGTTGAGTTAACACTAACATCTTCTTTTCTATATTCTGCACTTATGCTAAAACTGAAAACATATTTGATTGTCTGGCAGTAGAATAATATTATACAGAGGTAATTTTCGATAATTTCGGAATCAGAATGTGATACATATTTTACTAGAAATAATTTTGTTGGCAGAAGTGTTAAGCTGGAACTCATATCGTCATCCATCTTTTAACACTTAAAATGTAATAATGCCAAGTTATATAATTCGGAGATGACATTTGATATCACAGAATGACATAAAAGTGCATCACGAATATAAAAAACGACGAATCATTTTCTTACATACTGGGTGTCCGGATGAAATATATCCAAAATAAAAAATGTATATCTCCGAAAGTCCGGTCTGGAATACCGAAATTAACGGTCGTGGGGATTCGTTGCGCTGACCACGCGACACTCTCTATCCGCAAAAGTTGGCACTAACTTCGCCGACAAGCGGCGGTCGATATAGTTCGCTTGCGGACTAAAATCACGGAGTTTGCTTTTTCTTTTATATCTCCCAAAGCAATTATATACACGTATCCGATTTATGTCATCGGAAAGGAAAACTTTGTTTTTTTTCAAACCCGGCTTACGCGCATGCGCCGACACATTTCTGCCACTATGTTAGGAATCACCTGGACAGAGAGATGGCTGGGATATGAATTGGCAGAGGTGGACCAACTGCTTGGCCTCCTAGGTCGCCAGATTTAACCCCAGTGGATTTTTTCTTGTGGGATTATGTGAAGAACATTGTCTACCAGGTTAAGATCAACGACCTGCAACACTTGAAAGCCCGCATAAGGGACGCTGTCGCTATGGTAACACAAAACATGCTTCAAGCCTGGATATTTTGTCGTGCCACCAAGGGAGCCCAAGTTGAAATTTATTGAGAAAGTTATATGCTCAGAAAAAAACTTCCACAGTTTCCCTTTGTAGTGGTGTAACCCATAAATGTGTATAGCAAAAGCTTTCTGAGATATAATTATTTTGGATACCTTTCATCCGGACATTCTGTATATGATAACGTTTTCTACGCGGTGAAAGGCGAGCAATCATGGCCAACTTGAACATCTCAATCGTTGGTTTGAATGCAGCTAAGGACAGTGCCGTGTGTTTCCCTCTGTCGGTAGAGGCCATTTGACAGATTCCCCGTCCAAGAAGATGAATAAAGATTTCTTCAGAACAGATTGTGAATCAGAGTACGCCAGAGGAATTAATGAGTGGAAGATGTTTATTTCAGAGACGAAGTGAAGGGTTATTGCAGGATATCTTACCAGTTCGAATTTCTAAGCATCTACCCTGTGTTCCTAAGTGCATATTTTTAATGATAATGTACACAAGACGCAGTCTGCAGACATGTTTCTAACGGCGCGTCCACATTACTCGTGCTCGTCTGGCTTGTGTTCGTCGGGACACTCGTCTCCCTTTTATTTGTGCTCGTAAATCTTCGTCCACACAACTTCTAGTTGCTCGCCAGGCTTCGGGGCGTGAGGATCCGTATATTTACTCGTAGTGTGTATAGGCTGTAGTTTTTAAATTAAAAATTAAAAATTTGTTTGTCTCGTGACTTGTCATATCGTCCACATTACTCGCGAGCATAGCGAGTCACATGAGCACGAGTAACGTGGACGCGCCTTTATGAAATATCAGGATATTAGGCCTACTCTGAAGATAGCTACTAGTCTTAGAGAGCACATGAATGTACAGAATCCTCTTGAAAGTGCTGGAGCCATTGACTTATGTCTCAGAAGATTCGATTGAAGCCTAAACACTTTTCATTTCGGATGGTAAAAATAAGTATATACTTTTCAGTTTGTTGCAAAACACGTAGGCGGTTTAATGTTCTGCTCGTTATGAGTATT